CCTACACACGAAGAACTCGTAAGAGACAGGAATTGAGTTCTCTGGTTATTCCTCCGATGATCAAGTCAGTATATGAACTTGAGTGGGAAAATGTGAGATGATGAAGAATATTTCAAAGTTGTGTCAAAAGAGTAGAGAGCTATGTTGAGTTGCATAGCTTCTTGTATAAATGATCATAAGGGCAGATAGGTAACTTGAGCCGAGTACAGGCAGGCAGCTGACTCGACAAATAGCTGATAGGTGTTGACCGCTGGCAAAGATGGGTCATCCAAGTGATTAGTGCAAAGTGACAGCAGCTGCTTGGTGCTGACAGAGCCTGATGAGTCATAAAGACTTTCGTGGCTGGGCTGGAGCAATGATGATTTTTAACCGCGCATTTAATATGATGGTGACTGGCTGTTGGTGGAGGGTTAGAGGATGACCGCCTTTCAACTCAGCACGGAAAGAAGGGACGACTCGGTCTGTCTGTTGAGAAAGGACGACTCCTTACGAGAAGGACGAGAAGTACCGCCTTTTTAGTCATCTGACTGAAGGCCAACAAACACCGTCTCGAAAGTTGTTGACCCAGACTGGCGACAATGGACGAGTGGGCTAGGCGAGAAGGGATGTCTATCTCGGTCTAGCGAGAAGAGACTCTTGTCTCGGCTTAGCGAGAATGGTCGACTAGCCCTAGTGAGAAGGGATGAGTTAGCCAGGCGAGAAAGGATGTCCATCTCAGACTCGCGAGAAGGGACGACTTGCTCAGCCTATCTGGGTCGGCTTAGGGTGCAGGCTGCTTGAGATATGTGTTTGTAGGATCTGCGGAAGCACATACTAAACACTAGAGGGGGTGAATAGTGTTATTTAAAATTTTTACAAGATGAATTATAACTTTCAAGAACAATGAACAACAATCTCAGAAATTGAACAATCATAAATAAGAGATTTATACTGGTTCCACCACCCCGGGTGTACATCCAGTCCCCAAGCAAATCTTGCTTGAGATTTCCACTATGAATTTGAAACCAATTACAAAATCAAACCTAACCAATTTGCAAGTCCCTGCAAATTGCAACACTGATCTCTATACCAAAAGATCTTCTCTCACACCCGAGAGAAACCTTCTTTGAAGAAAAATACAAATCCCTATAAGTCTTGATGTGAGTGTGAAGTGCAGCAGTGACTTAGGAACTTTTGCTCTCTGAAAAGGGGTGTTTATGTGGGGGCCACACCTCTACGTGTGCATGAGGAGCTTTGCCCAATTCCAGCGGGTAAATTGCAAGTGATACAATTTGGATTTTAAATAGATTCCGGTGTCGTGAGGACTCTTTGTCATCAAGGTGGTTTCTAAACTTGCGACCACACGCCCGCAGCCGTTTCCTCATCCATCCTACCAAAAAGCTACATCCCTTTCAAAGGCATAAGGATAATCGACGCCGTGGATTCCAGACTCCCAGTTCCTGCCCAAATCTCATCAGACATATCCTTGTGCCTTCTTCTCTTTTCCCGCCCAAAGCTTTGTGCAATTTCTTGCGAAATCAAACGTGTTCTTCATCTGCCATCCTCCAATAGGCAAAAATCATTTCTTCCCCCATTGAATTTTTTCCAAATCTCGTTATTTTCCCGATTTAAACTGTTTGTACTTGTTGACGGCCATTCCTTCCTTGTGTATTAGTAAATCCGCTTCTCTCAGGAAATTGGCCGAGCACCACCTCAAATAGAAGCTACACACTTCCCAAAATCTGCAATAACAGCTCTGATACCAATTGTTTGGGCGCGATCACGGCCCGCCGTCGGCGGAAGCGATATCAACTGATGAAAAGCGCCTGGCTTTTGTTTGCACAAAAGCACAAAGTCAACCTCTATATTCTTGTTTCTCACAAGGAAACGAGAAAATAGATAATGAAATTCTTATTTCTTCAAAAGGAAACCAACGAATCTGAAAGTGATATATTTTCATCAAGTGAAGATATACACTCTTCCTCTCATCAGCTCCTAAGACCGAATTTTGAGGGATCCTACAGCAATAGCCAATCAACCCAGAAAACAGTAAATTACACGAGATTTACGTGGTTCGGCAAACTTGCCTACGTCCACCGGAAGGGTGCAAGGGCGAGATTCCCTATGAGAAGAACAACACGACGACTTGTAGCAATCCACAAGCTCGCTCTGAAAGAAAAAGAATGTCTAATTTTTTTACCCAAAAAGCAAATTAACATCCTCTTTCTTGGTAAATCACCTCTTTTTCATCTCCTCAAAATCCTCTTTTCTCCTCAATGCAAGACACCACAGCATTCTCTGTCAGGCCAAAAGAAACAAAATCGCCTCCTCTAGACTTTGCCGATTTTCCCAGCAGCTTTTCACCAAAGCCGCTGTTCCCTTGCTTGTTTGATTTCCCACCACCCAGGCCGAAACCCTAGGGACATTTAGGCTTATATAGAGACTTCGATGCGGTTATAAGCCTTAATAAATGGGCCTTGGGCTTTG